AATCAATATTTAAAATTTTATTAAAAATTTTAAAATATGCAGGCAAATTTGCCTGTGTTACAATCTAAGGGATAGATCTACTAATTTCTGAATGCAATGTATGTGATAATTGTATTAGACGATCTCAAGATAAAGCAGTGCGAATTAATGTTTATAATAACTTGTTAAGAATGCTAAATATAACAGAAAAGTTGTTGAGAATGGTTGCAGAGAGAAAATTAATGAGTTTTGAAAGAGAGGAGTTAGTAGATGTTTTCTTAAAAGCTGAGAACAAAAATACAAGAGATAAAAACTTATCATTGTTTTGGAATAAGGAAGAAGATGCCTCATATAAACCAATAATTTCTACTCGAGATGCATACTTTTACATGGTAGATAAATTAATCGTTAAAGGGCTTATAAGACAGAATATAAATATTGAACCTCTATATTCTGGCTCTTCTATATTAACATATAGCTGTAGTATAGTCTCTATTTCTGATAATACACAAGAGCAAATAGGTATGAATGAATAGTAGAAATTTGTAAAACCAAGTTCAAGACAAAAAAAGAGTGTGATAAATTAGAATTGGCTTACCTTCTGTTCATTTTTAGGCTAATAATAAAGAATTACCAGTATATAGCAACATAAATAGTTGTAGATTTACAAAGTTAAAATAATCAATATAAAAAATATCTTGTCTATTTACTACATAAAACCTATTCAATCGATAATAAATTCAACTATAAAAGAGTAGTACAACAAGCCACTTTAGAGTAATAATTATAAGACTGAACATTTTACAAGAAATTTAATTATTTTGATAAATAAGATTCAGTAACCTAATAATCAGATTCGAATTATTTTAATATTATCTGATTTCTCTCGCTAGAAAGAATTAAATAGAGAAAATGCCAAATCTGTTTACTAGATTAAAGATATCTTTGTATAAATAATAAGAATTTTATGCGACAAAAATAACATCTTATATCCTAGTGATCAGATCTAACCAAATTTTTACTATTTATTTTTCTCAACGATAAGAATCAAGTGATATAAAAATTGCTTGAATTTGATATAGGAGAATATAAGATATATTAATTCATTAAAATAATCTTTTGTCAAAGTAATTCGATCTTATAATTTGTATATGTTTATTCGAAATAATTATAACTTGTCAAAGAATTCAAAGAATATTATTATTAAAACAAAAATAGACTATAGAAACCAACTCAGATCCATAAAACACCCAATCTGAATCTCAACTAACGAACTACACTCTCAAAAACCTTTTCCAAATCTTAATTCTAACCCTAAATATCTCTAAACTGCTATACACATTAACAGAATCAATCTGTAATCACAAAGAAATTGAATATTCATTAGTGTTTCCTCTGTCTTGAATTCAAAAAATAGACAAACTGTTCAACTTATCTTTGCGCTAAATTTCCCTCTAAATATTATATAAACTTATCTTTAAATTGCCAGAAATTATAAGACTAAGGCCGTTCTCAAGCGCCTACCTCAATGATTTTACCAAACGGTTTGGTTGGTCAAAAAAATTGATCGTAATTATCACTTGAGTCAAAAAAAAACTAGAGCTTGACCATCAATTTTTTTCATAGAGTTGCGCTGATTGGTTAAAATTTATCATTGATAGAGTAATCAAAGAGATCGCTCAAACTCAAATACTCTTATTATTTTTTTCATAATATGAATCCTCAACAAGACCATCATTATTACCAAAAAATTATTATCCTACTCTTCATACTAAAAACTCTTATAACAAATAAAAAACGGTCAGAGTTAATATTCATAGAATAAGAAATTAATTTTTTATATATATGTTGTATATATATTTTATTAAAATAACATTCATACTTCATTATATTTTGATATCACTTCGTTTAATGTTAAAGAATCCATATAAAGTTGCATTCCTTTGTATAACATTATATACATGAATGTCCAGACCTCCCAGTCTTGCTAGTGTGACCGTAGTTACAAGT